CAGAGAGCCAGCTAGCTTACGCTTTTGGAACTTATGCAATATCATAGGAGCCAGCCAGTCTATAATCTGTATAAATTAGTTATTAAAACTAAATAAGTCCTTTTCATTTAAAATATGAAATGCATAGGAATACCTATAATGAAAACCATTTTCAGAATTGTGGTGTTCTTGCTAACGTATTACTCATACCCATTACCCATTACAAACACAGAACCTTATCTAAGTAGAATAAAATAGAATAAAGCTGGAAGGGACCTTGGTGGTCTTCTAGTCCAGCCCCCCGCTTAAGCAGGAGAACCTATACCATCTCAGACAAGTGACTGTCTAGCCTCTTCTTAAAAATCTCCAGTGATGGAGCACCCACGATTTCTGGAGGCAAGCTGTTCCACCGGTTAATTGTCCTCACTATCAGGAAGTTTCTCCTTAATTCCAGGTTGCTTCTCTCTTTGATCAGTTTCCAACCATTGTTTCTCATCCTTTCCTCTGGTGCTGTGGTGAATAACGTGACCCCCTCTACTTTGTGGCAGCTCCTCAAATATTGGAATACTGCTATCATGTCTCCCCTATTTCTTCTTTTCTTTAGACTAGCCAAACCCAAGTCCTGCAGCCGTTCTTTGTATGTTTTAGTCTCCAGGCCTTTGATCATCTTAGTTGCTCTTCTCTGAATTTTTTTTTAATTCTCAACATCTTTTTTGTGATATGGTGACCAAAATTGGCTGCAATATTCCAGATGTGGTCTTACTAGAGTTTTATAAAGCGGTACTAATACTTTGCGTGATCTTGATTCTACGCTTCTGTTTATACAACCAAGGATTGTATTAGCTTTCTGGCTGCTGCTGCACACTGCTGGCTCATGGTTAAGTGATCGTCCAACTAGGACTCTAAGAGCCCTCTCACAGTTACTGTTTTTGAGCCAGGTCTCGCCCAGTCTGTACTTGTAACTTTGATTTTTCCTGCCTAAATGTAAAACTTTGCTTTTCTCCACATTGAAACTCATTTTGCTGGACAGGGCCCATTGTTCAAGTTTGTCAAAATCTTTTTGGATCATGAGCTTGTCTTCTAGGGTGTTGGCTACTTCTGCCAGTTTGGTGTCATCTGCAAATTTGATGAATTCCCCTTCAATTCCCTCGTCTAAGTCATTTATGAAGATATTGAAGAGTACAGGGCCTAAGATGGAACCTTGTGGTACCCCACTGCTTACTTCTCTCTATGCAGATGCAGTGCCGTTGAGGACTACTCCCTGAGTATAGTTTGTGTAAGTGATGTGTTGTTGCAGCATATTACATAACATAACCAAAGAAAGGTCTGTTTTAACTTGTTATATCTATACCATGAGGGAGCCAGTTTGGTGTAGTGGTTTAGGCATCAGGCTGGAAACCAAGCAGACCATGAGTTCCAGTTCCAACTTGAGCACAAAACTGGTAGGTGACCTTGGGCCACTTCTCTCAGCCCTAGGAAGGAGGCAATGGCAAACCATTTCTGAAAAACCTTACCAAGAAAACTCAAAGATTTGTCCAGGAAGTCTCTGAGAATTAGACATGACTGAATAGAAGTAAAAAAGAATCCACACCATGCCTTCAAATGACTGCATTTCTAGATAATTTTTCAAGTATCCAACATATCTATGGTAGCTTTTTTTTTAACTGTAGGAAAAGTGGTAAGTAAATCTTGAACAGCACTTATTATTCAAAATCCTAGTTTCCCCCCCCAAAATTAAACCAAATTCTCACATGGACATATATATCTGAAATTTTATCAGTTAATGAGTTAAAGTACATATTTATGTAATTTGTTGACAACTAATCAAGAACAATTCCATTTACCTTATTTAAAAGCAGTGAAGATCAGCTGTGCTGCTATCTACATAGGCAGTCAGCTAACTACATTTAGTAAAATCAAGGGAAATGTGTTATTTCAATAGGTGCTGTACCATCAGTAAGGTAACTAATACTCCAAAGAATGAAGAACTGTCAAAACCAGCACTTAAACCTACATAGACTGGAAGCTAATAAAGTCAACAAAGCACATACCAGTTCTTATTACAATTGCATCCATCTTCTAATTGTTACTCCAAAGACAATGTCAAAGACAGATATTGGCCCAACCATGTGGAGTATCTACTAATGCAAAGACCTTTGTTTATTTAAAACATTTATATAGCTGCCCATTTTATAGCAAATTTATACCATACCATGGGCAGCTCCAGATCAAGAATTAAAACAACATAAAAACCAGATTGAAACTATAAACACTAAACACATTAAAAATAAAAGCCCAGTGCCAAGTTGAGCTTCTGATATGCGGTCAACTCTCTGCTTTTCAGAAGGCTAGGATGGTAGTGGTCTGCCAAATTCTCTGGGAAAAGAGTATTCCACAGGACAGATGATTCTCCAGGAAAGGCATGTTTCCTAGTTTCCATGAGGTGGCAATAATTAAGGGAAGGGACTAAGAGTACGCCTACCCTATCTAACCTGGTAGGATATCAATAGTATTTATACGTATATACCGCTCCAAAGTGCTTTACAGCACCCTCTGGGTGACTTACAATGTCAGCATATTGTCCCCAACAATCTGGGTCTTCATTTTACTGACCTTGGAAGGATAAATCAACTTTGAGCCCTGTCAGGATCGAACTCCAGGCCATGGGCAGAGTTTGCCTGCAATAGTGCATTCTAACCATTGTGCCACCACCCCACCAGTGATGAATAGATGTTCTTAGGGAAAGTAGTGTTGCAGATAATATGGCTTTGTGTCATATAGAACTTTAAAATGATAACCGGCATCTTGAATTGCACCTGAAAGGAAACTAGAACCCAGTGCAGCTTATGTAATAGAGGTGATATAGTTTTGAATAATCATTGCTTTGATGCTACAGTGATTAATTCAAAGGGAATATGTTGTTCCTTCTTTCCTAGGTCCACAGAAACTTCGTAGCAATGAAGAATTGATGATTCTGGTTGACAGAAACAAAGAAGTTATATTAATTGAAATATTATAGCTTCATTGGTAGCTTCATTAGTACCTGTATATGGGCTTACCTGTATAATTAGTACAAGATGGGAAGGAAGACCATGCTTCAGTCATGCTGTCCAAAAAACTACCCATTGGCAAGTCTAAGAATGGAACAAAGGTGGGAAAAATGCAATATTCAGTACACCTCATTTGGACTCAGTGGATGGGTCACTAGAATAAGTCAGCTAGAAGAAAAAGAAAGGAAGTCGCTAATCAGCTGAAAATATAGTAGGATGAAATATAGAGCAGCTACCAGCCATTGGCAGGCCTGGGTATACTGGGCACTGAATCTAGGATGTTGTTAAGATTGAAATGGTGGAACAACTACTCAGATGGGCTTGAGATACCCCAATGCTTTTGAAGATGAATGTCAAATTATGATTGAGGGATGCACTTGTGATGGGCTGGGAGTCAGCTGAGTATGATGTCATTCATTACTGTACTGCACTCATATTGGAGGTGGGGTAAAGCAGAAAGTGTGGATCTGGTCCATGTGAGCACAAACATGTCTAAATCACACAATCCAAACAGACATTTTCTAAACAGATGTTCACTAATCATCATCCCTTAGATTTTAGATCTCCAAATGACAAAATAGCTCAGACTCTCATATTTTCTCATGCATATATTCATGTCACCCAACAGAATCTTTTCTCTCAGGATCAATCATTAATTAAGTCTTAATGTTGCGTATTTTTCCCCAAAAACCCGTTCCTTGTTCTATTACTACTATTGATTGGAATGTAGCATGTGTCCAAACGATGAATTCCTGTTTGTATACATCTGTAACTTCATAAGTGACATTGTTTTCTGAAATATATTTTAACTATTTATTTATCATTAAACTTATACCTTTATACCTGTATGTTTTCATCATCTCCACTCCAAAAGACTGGATTATTTTCAAACAGATCTACTATCCTTTCTCTTCCTTTTACCAACATACAACATTCTGTTCTTTCTTTCATCTAGTTCATCCTCTTCATCATTTATTCCTTTCTAATTCCAAGTCACATCTTCTGGCCATCATGAAATAGGTCCACAAATATTAAACCTAATATTCACCTTGGCTTTGGTCAATTGAGGGTTTCTCACAATACTTTTTAGTAAAATGTGCACTAAATCGGGGATTGCCAAACATTTCCCATCCCACGGAAACTATTTCCTAAAGTTAGGGTTTTTTAACCTTGCCAACTTTAAGATGTGTGGACTTCAACTTCTAAAATTTCTCAGCCAGTAGTCGAGTTGCCAAGTTTGAAAAACACTGATCTAGAACAAGTGTTTCTCAACCTTGGCAACTTTAAGGTGTATGGACCAGCTCCCAGAATTCCTAGCGTGGCTGGCTAAGGCATTCTGGGATTTGAAGTCCCAGAAGATCTTAAAGTTGCCAAGGCTGAGAAACACAACTCTAGAAACTCCTTTGCAAGCCAACATATCTTATTGCACCTCATCGGCTCAGGAGTACATATAGCGTGCTGGCCACCCACTCAGGAGACTTTTAATTAGATTATTACTAGAATATTATTCTAATACAAGTATTTTTTGCTTTGAATCTAATTTTGGCCATCAACCTCCTCTTCACCTTCTGGGCAAGGACGTGCTGCGGGCGGCTGTGCTTGCCTGCTTCCATCTCTGCCAGGATGAGTCTTGTATCAATTTCTCCCAGCCAGTCGCACTTGCTTGCTGCCCTCAGGACTGGCTGAGGAGAAAGCGACAGGCGGGCCCAAAAAAACCCGAAAGTCTCCCCTGGATGGGGCTGAGGGAGCAACCCGAGTTGGTTGTAATCACACCCCTAAAGAGGAGAGTCCTTAAATAGGGGAGGAGAGAGAATGACAGCGCTGTGGGCGCCGCTCCTGACACGGCGGGACCAACCGCCGGGAGCTCCCGCAATCGCAGCCTCCGTCTTCAACGGCGGGCCGCACCTTCTCCCCTCGCCGCCTTTCTCCCCGTCGGCCGCCCGCGCCCGTCCCGCCAAGAGACGCGCGCCATGGACCCCCCGCGGCCCGCGCCGCTCGCGCACGTTTTCAAAGGGACCTTCGTCCACTCCACCGGCACCTCCCCGATGGTCATCCTGCAAGGCCACCTGTTGGGTGTAGCGGCGAGCGGGAAGGTGAGCCTGGGCAAGGGCGGGAGGAGGGAAGGGAAGCGCGTGCCCCCCCCACCCGCCGCCCGGCTTGCTGCCGCTGCCTTCTCTGGCACGTGGGGGTGGGGGGGGGGNCCCCCCCCCCCGCCGGTTATAGAAACCCCGAGATAGAAGAAGAAGGCGGAAGGGCGGGTGGTTGTCGTGATTCACATAACTTACGTAACACCTGTGAAAAAGAAAAATAAATACGAAACTAGGTTTAATCGGACCCATTCTCCAAGCAGGGAGGTCGTTTTTCTGGTGCCTCAGAATCGCTCCAAAGGATCAGCTGAAACAGAACAGACATAGGGATGAGAAGATAGAGATGTCGTTGATAGAAAGCTGGCATTAAAATCTCTTCCCGTCTATAAACGGCAATTTAGGAAGGTGCGCAAATTATGCCAACTATAAAGAGGACTTGATAGACTTAGAGACATTCAACACAATACTCCCCCCCCCCTTTTTTTTTTTTTAAAGGGTTACAACGAGTGTTTTCAGTGCTGGCAATTATCAAGCAGGGCAAGAAAACATGATGGAAATAAATAATAAATACTACTGTTCCCTGAGCCGGTTCATTATTTGTCAACATAGAAGAGAAATTCTAAAGTTATGATATATAAAGAAACACTTGTCATCTTTGGATTTCTTTTTTTAATTCTAATTTTATATGCATTTAACAGGAATTAATCTATATTCAATCAGGTTAAAAACCCATCTGCACTCATCTCCTGAACCTAGAAAACATCATGATGGTGTGTTTGTTGTGAAAAATAAATTAGTATGTGGAGTGTTGAGAACATGCACCATTTGCACTGGAAAATAAAGAACTATATAGATGTTGAGACTATTGAAAAATAAATGATTAGATGTTTCAGGACAGTGCTCAGTGCTGATCCTCTTGTTCAGCTTGCCAGATTGCTCTAATCTAAGATACTACATTAATACAATGTTTATTATTACTTTATAGTATGAAATCCTGCAGAAAGTGTTTCCAGTGCAGGTTTTTTTTACTATTTCATCTATTCTGATTTTTGGTTCCACTAGCCAAATCAGCAAAGACAATATTTGTTCAACTATTAGATAAGCAGTATCAAACAAAGCTTCCAAGCTTTGATACTTTTGCCATCTGGTTCTATATATCATTAGATCTCAACAACTCTAGTCTAATTAGATGCTCATTTAAGAAGAAGTGTAATTATATATTCCACATTCATTGGTGGTATACAGTTAAAAGCTTAATGAAGCATATTATTGTGCAAGTTCATACACTTTCAAATATGTGTATGCGTGTAGAGAACAGATGATTGCTGTGACTAATATATGAATGTGTTTGGCATAGTAACCACATCTACTTGGTGGCTCTTGATTTTGCAGATCATTTAACTCCTTCCGTTTTTGCTGTAGTACCACATATTTTCTTGGCTCTCTATGCCTTTTTGTACACTTGTAATAGTTACTTTATAAAGTGGCAGTTTTTCTCACAAAATAAGAGGCAGCCACACCATTAGATTACAGTGTAGAGCTTATATCAATTAGGCTTTGATAAAGCTGCCAAGGTTCAATAATGGTTTGGGTTGTGGCCCATTTTGGGAGAAATAGTAAGAGGTATAAAGGATGAAATGGTGCTTTACCTAGCTGCAATACTTTAGGCAACCATTTTGTCCTGTGATACTCCTTCCATCCCATAAGAGCCAACGGGTATCCCAAATTTTAGCTCTGCCAATCCTGTGATGGCAACGGAAGGGAAATTGGCAGGCCATTTTTGTACTCCTCATCTAGCAGATGGTTTTGGTCAGCAGTTGTACTCTGTTAGTATTCTTGAGATTTTTTTGACCAATTTTCTTCTATTGAATACAGAACTATGTTTTCTTCTATTGAAGACAGAGCCAACAGAACAGCTTCTTAAACCATTTACTGCTTTCTTATACATATAGCACAAGTTGTAGCTCCATCAGCTTTTGCCTATAGTAGAGAAGAGGAGCCATCTTTCTGTTAACAAGTTGTTGAGCCAGTCCTCTCACACTTATTTTTTACAGTAGTCATATATTATTCTTGCTTACTTACAGTTGAGGAGAGGATTCAGTGGACTTTGGTCCTAAAACAATCCTGGGAGAAATGCCATGCAGCTATTAGTTCCTACAAAATAGTAATAAAAATGACATGGGAAAAGTGGTAATCTGACAGAAATTTGGTGGGGTTTTTTTTTGCTTTATGTTTGATGGCTCATTATCTTCCACTCTCTTTTGAAATCATCCTTTGACATATCTGCCTAGAACAGGGGTATTAAACTGCCAGCCCGCGGGCCGGTTTCATCATACCGGAGCCGCGCCCACCCCATTGCCGGCAATGGCGAAAAAGCTCCGATACGTTGCACGACGTCACATCGCGAGTTTGACATGTCTGGCCTAGAACAATGGAGACAAGGCTATGTAAAAGGTATAAAAAGAAGGAGACAATTGGTTCCAATAGAAGAGAATACCCTGCATGTAACTCAGGGTATATACTAGGTACTATATATAAACAGGGAGCAAACCCCACACTCATTTGCACTGATGATGTTACCTAGCTGCGTAATGAAATACCTGCAATTAAACTCAAAGAGCACCAAGGACTCCACAAGGTAAGATTAGTTCTTGAAAAGTTCCAGTGAGTCTAGTTCAGGGGTCTTTAAATTTAGCCCTTTTATGACTTGTGCACTTCAACTCCCAGAATTCCTCAGCCAGGCTGAGGAATTCTGGGAGTTGAAGTCCACAAGTCATAAAAGGGCCAAGTTTTAAGACCCCTGGTCTAATTACTGGAAGGAGACCACCAAATGCAGGCAGCTGGGCTTCTCCTGTTCCATTCCTAGGCTATAAAATACGTTCCTTTGGGAGCTGTGATTAGGCTCCACTCTTGTTTTTAGAAGATTGTTAAGCAGATTTTTATATTTTTAGGTTTCTTTAAACAAATATAATCAATTATTCTCAGATACAATCTTAAGACAAGTAAAACCTAACTTTCTAACACTCCAAAGAGGGAAAATTAAAAAAAAAAAGGGTTATTGTGTGATGGAACATGCTGGGATGTCATGGATTCAAATTCTGCCCAGATTTTCATCAGCATCCCCAATTAAGAGCAAAAATTAGATGACTTATTTCCCTCCTATTTCTTGTAATGGTTGTAGATGTACTATTAGAAAGGAGGCACAGAAAGAATCAATAATTCATCCTGCTGTTTTTTTTATGCTGGGATTTTTGTTTCTTCCTGAAGAGTTTCCCTAACTCTGGACATGCAGAAAGGTTCAAAATGGAAAGATATGATGTGGCAGAAGATGAACTTGTCCCTGTCTCACTCCATTTAACCTTCTAGGTTCAGAGAATAACAATTAGGCAATTGTTAGGTACAGTTAGGCAATGTATAATTAGGCAATGTGCAGGCTCATCACAACTAGTGCAATAATGATTGATTAAAGCAGTTAATAGCAACTGCTTTTAGTCTTGGAGCCAGGGTGGAAAATACTTAACCAATAGGGATGAGTCTGAAAAACTGGCATCCATTGTTTTAGCTCAAGGGATTCACTGATGATTGGAAGAAATAGTAAAACCTAAAAATAATATTTTATTTTAGTATTCCTATGCAAATTCTTTGAAATGTAGAAGCACCTCATTTCAAATCACATCTTTTTTTAAAAAAAACAAAACAAGTTTTATTGGTTTTTTAACTTTTACAACAAAATGCTCAAGAAATGCATCCAAAAACAAAGTCATATATATATAAATCAAATTAATACATTAGACGTTCCCTCTCTGTTTCCCTCCAATAGTATAACATATTTAAAATAATCCATTTCTAGATTACATTTATATAGATCCAAATCCTGTTTTTAAGCTTTACTAATTAACAATTACCATAATCCGATTTAATCTTAAATAAACATATTATTAGCACTTCGGGTACTCCTTCTAAAATACACATAATATTCCAGCAATAACATTCTAATATTTCCAGATGTATTCTAATTCTTAATCTAATAAATCATTAGTTTTATCACAGCTCTCTCTTATTTCTTCTTCCACTACAAAATAATTATCCTAATTAAGATAAAAATATTACTCTACTCTATGTATATATAGTCTAACAGTCAATCTATTTCTATAACAGAACAAAGCAAAACAAAACACAAAATCATTTCAGTCCATTAGGTAGGATTTAAATCTCATCCAAATAATTATCATATCTAAAACACACATATTATTACACAAAATGTCATCTTACTAACTTGACATACTCCATTAATTGTTAGATCAGTCCAAATCCCTTAAATCAATCCATATCTCTACAAAACCTTTTAAACCCATTACATGTAATTTTAAGTCTCTTTTTTTCAGTCTTATTCTGGCTTTCTTTTTGTGCCAAGCAGGTTTCCATAACAGAGCCTCTATTTCAGCAAATAGGTCTCTCTTTATTCCTTGTAATGTCATTTGGGTCGATGGAAGACATCCCATCCTCTGTTTTAGAAGCCTGACTCCTTTATAGTTAGACCCTTGTTGCTTTAGAAATTCAACCAATGTTTGGTTCAGCTGAGTAAAACATTCAGTTGTTTCCAGTTTTATGGTTAATAGTTGGTTATCAAAGTTATCATCGTTCTTAGTAAGTCGTGTTTGTACATCAATTCCTGTTATTTTTGGAGTTGTAGTTTGATTAAGGTTACCTTTTGATCCTCAGAGATCTCAATAGGATGCTTGTGAGGTAATATGAATTCCTCTTTAATATAGGTTAATTCCTCTTCTGGTGTATTTTGGCCTATAGGATAATCAGTTGAAGTCTGGAAGTAAGTTTGAGGGTTTGTAGTAAGGTTTCTGACTCTTATTTCTGTAGTAATCTCTTTTATTTTAGCACATACTTGCTCAGTGGCTTTATGATTTTTTTCCAATATGAGTTTACAGTATAGTTGTAAATAGGGTTTCTCCATTTCAATAATAGTTAGAAGCAGTCCTTTTATCTTTTAG